CCCCAAAACCCCAAAACCCCAAAACCCCAAAACCCCAAAACCCCAAAACCCCATGGAGAGCCTCTTATATTGATATTATAAAAAATTGATTATTAATGGACAATTCGACATCCAAGCCAAGCTATTCAGACTCAAGTGCAGAGGTAGCAGAGGAAGATCTTGACTCACTACATTCTTCCAAAATGTGTAAGCTGGTTTGCGTTGTGAAACACTCTCCTAGATACGATAATATATCAGATAAGATTTTTAAACTCTATGATAAAACATTAACCAATGCTAAAATCAACTTTAGTTGGAGGCCAATAATTTGGCTAAGTTCTTGGATAAATCTCACAATTGGTAGTTAGAATTATCTCTCTTAATTTCATGTTATCCTTATTCACTGAGCTATAATGCTAAATTGTAATAAATAGATGAGTTCTCAAAACAAAACAGAATCTATCAAAAAGAAATGGGATGAAACAAAAAGAGAGGAACTGGGTTTGAAGAGTACAACGATCCTAAGAATTTGTACTCCCCTGTGAAGCACTCCCGTCAGAACGAGTCTGAGATTAATGATGATATAAAAGATCTTGAGTCACAGATGAGCAATCTTCAGATTTCAAAATAAAACTACAGATCAAACTTATTATAAACCCGAGAGTCGATCTGAGAAGTATCAGGTTCAAGAGGAAGAGAAAAATCAGAGAATTATCAAAACACCTAATAAAACCAAGAAGGCCAAAACTGGCTTTCGCTTTTGGAACTTCTTCACTTGGGGGTGCAAAGGGAGGTCTAAGGTGACGAAACTTAAGAAGTTACCGAAGAAGGACAGAAGAGAGACGAGTGTTGGTGAACACAATAGCAAGGAAGGTCAGAAACTTAAGAATAGTAATTCTTGTGATAGCAACTCACTTGCCTATGGGGATTCTGATAATGATTCAAATATTGATCGGTATACAGACAAGCACAAAGGAAGGAATCGTATGAAAAATGCTGAAACAATGCCAAATAAGAGAACGCTTACAATTTATAAATCAAGGGAGGTCAGCCCTGATAGTGACGACTGAAGTAGCTTTTCAGCAAGTGGAAGTGACGATAGTAAAGATCAAAGCTCTACAGGGTCAAAGAGGGCAAAACATGAGCATAAGGACAGCAAGTCACGCCGCAGACATTCTTCTGAAGATTCTGAACTTCAGAGAGATCCCTCCTCAAGCCAAGATAGCAAAGAGAGTGGAGATACTTCTTCTGACAGAGAAGAGGAAGATCCTGATAATAGTTTTCCTTTTGAAGTGAGTGAGTCTTATCTTCCAGAGGAGAATTACAAGATGAATAGCTACAGTTGTGAGCAAGATGAGATCTCTGGCTCTCCAAGAGAGCCCAGCAGAGGTTTGAATGGCAGAGAGAGCTCTGCCATGAATTACAACTGCGGTGAGAGTGAAGCAGGAAGAGAAACTTTCACAAGGTTCAGGAATAGTGAAGCCAAAGTTGCAAGCTATCGAAAATCAACCCTCAAAAAGTTTATTTGGACTCAAAAAGACGATGACCTTCTCATAAAGATAGTTAAAAAGCAGAAAATTAAAAACAAGGGAGAAATCAATTGGGCTAAGATTGAGTTTGATCTGGCTGAATCAAGGCCTTATGCCACCCACCAATTATCAAGCAAAGACTGCAAGAAAAGATACCATCAGTTGACTAAAAAGAAAGCAGTCAGAGATTGGACAGACCAGGAAGTTAAAACTTTATTAAAATTACATAAAAAGTTTGGGAATAAATGGAAGACGATTGCCAAAAAGATTGGCACCAAAAATGACAAACAATGAAAGTACAAATTTGAAGAATTAAAGAAAGAAGGTCTTAGAACAAATCTAAAACCAAGCTATCGAGAGTCTCTCTATTACAAGATCGATGAGAGTATTGAAGAAGACGAAGAAACTAAGCATGATGATATCCCTGTCCGAATGAATAGTGGGGAGCAATATAGACTACAATTTATAGAGAATAGCCAAAGTGGCACCTCTAGAGGTTCTGATTTCTTCCAAAGGGCTTCTTTTGTTCCTAAGGCTATGGAGGTTCAAAGAATCGAAGAGGAGTGAATGCATTAAATCATCTTTAACTTTTCTATAATGTAAGCAAATTTATATAATTTATTTTCAAAGAGTATGCTTCAAGCTTTTGAGCCACATTCGGGGTTTTGGGGTTTTGGGGTTTTGGGGTTTTGGGG